CAGTGTAGAGAGAACAAAACTCTCTCTACACCCTTTATAGTACCTACGCCCAACGTGGTTGAGATCACGCTTGGTGTGAAACTATGTAAGAACAATGTCAAATAGGGCGTCAAACGGTGCCTAGAGAGGTCTATATGAAGCCCAACACCAAAGGAACATGGAACACTATGTATAATCTGACCAAGCCCCATACATAAGTGGCCAACACGACATTAGTTCGTGAGAAACTTGTAAAGTGTGTGAAAGTTGCATATTACAAAACCAAAAACTCTAAAACTTCAAATCAACCGATAAAAATCACAATTAAAGCTCAATACTTCTCTACCATACAATCAATTACTCAAATTTGATCTCAACATCAATTTCACCTATTAATGTAATTAATATCAATTTTCACTTTACTATATAAATCAATGGTTCCTCTAGGAACTATATACACTAACAAATTTCGAAACAATTATAATTATTCAAAATTAATCACATGTATAATTGAAACATCACATATAACGCACATAAGAGGAGTATGAAACACAAATTCATAGGTTGCAAGAAAAAACTAGAATTCCTCCCTTAGAGTATATAAGAATAGAAGAGAGATTAGGGTCAATGTCACTATCCAACATACAATCCACACCCCAAAGCGAGGCTACTCACTTCCTCTTACCTCAAGTTTATTTTATTATATATTACTAGTATTTTAAGCCTCTAATACACAAGCTAAATATTTATTATATGTAATTAAAATTTATAATAAATTATATATACAAATAAATATTATGTTTGAATATATAAATTATATTTTAGATTTATGATAAATAATTTATATTGTAACACAATAATTTATATTTATAAATAATTTATTTAAAAATATTAAAATTTAATTTATATATAATTATGATAAATAAAAGTTGAACTAGATAATTTTTTTTTTTAAAATCTTAAAAACATTCTCACCGAATAAATACTCCTAAAAATATTCTCATGTAAGATAAGTGTTCATGTTTAATATGTAGGAATTGATTAATACAATTAACTATTTAAAATATATAATTATCAAATTTTGTATGAATTTAATTTATATATTTATTATATAAACTTCAATATTTTATAATTGGCCTTGACTTCCCTTTCCTCAACGTCTAGTTCTAGGGTGTTTGGACAATAGGTTTCAATGAAATAGTTTAATTTTTTTTATAAAATTTTAAATATTTTGAGATGAAATATTTTATTTAGATGAATTTTTTTTATAAAATTTAAAATTTAAATAT